AGAATCAAACCATGGTATTCAGCATCATTGACCGTCACACCTTCAAGAATGTATCCTTTAGCTTTGACAACCTGCCACCCTGGCAGCCTCCACAGTATGCATCCGCAACTTCCTCGGCGAGTAGAAACCTTCGCAGCGCCATCAAAACTCAGAACGTAGCCTTGATAGTCTGCTTCCAACATTTCCAGACTCACCAGTGACATTACTTTCAGCCGCCCCTTGGCGGGAATCAGGGTTTCTGCGACTTCGTCTAAATGTTCCCTGGGAGTGATATCGGACCCAAGGATGGCTGCAAGGCCGTCCTCATCTTTCTGAGTCCGATGTTCCAGTGTCCATCTTGATAGTTCCAGCCCCCACTTCAGATGTCGTCCATCTGCAGTGTTGGATTGTAGTAACCACTTTAGTACAGAGTAGCGCGTATACACCACAACTGGGAATTCTGATCCTTGGATCAGAGGTCTGAAAACCTCCGGAGTCCGCAGAATTGCGAGCACTTCCTTCTCGACTATGTGGTAGCGTAGCTCTGATTCCTTCAACACTCTACCAGTAAATCGTACTGGATGTATGAGTCCTTCATGTTCTTGAACCAAAACTGCACACGCCGCCCACGGGTTGGCATGAGGAATAATCACGAAAGGTTTGGTTCTGCCAGCAGCGGGGTTGACACGATCTTACGTTTCAGTATCTCGAAAGACTCCTTTGCGGCTTCCATATTCCCTCCAGCACGTACACGTTCTTCGTCTAGTTCATAGAGCACAGCGGCGACTACTGGTAAGTCTTCAATAAACTTGTTGTAATAATTCAGACTTCCTAAGAAAGACTGCACCCCCTTGTATGTCGACGGGAAAGGTAAGTCCTCTATGCTTTTGGCAATCTTCGGCAAGGCTCTGATTCCGTCCGCACTCACTTCATGAGAAAGGAATGGGATGGTCAACTTTCCGAATCCACTTTTCGGTAAGCTCACAGAGATTTTCCAGTATCGTAGTCTATATAACAACGCGTCCAGGTCCACACATAGTTGGTCCCAGGTCGATGCCCCATGCGCGATATCGTCAATATATGAGCTTCTTCCCAGGACCGGACCCATTTGTGACGGAGCCGGAATATTGCGTCGGAATACAGTCATGTCCAATGACGGAATCTCTGAACCCCGCATATCCCCTTCAGGTTTCAGGGCTTCTTGAGGCTCGAGGTCCAGCAACTCTAGGACTTCTGGGTCAACCATCGCTTCCTCTTCAGGCGGTAGGCGGACGAATCCCCACATACAGTTGCTGATGATGCTCGGATAAATTAACGGTGCATTCTTCAATCCAAAAGCATTCTGAGCCATTGAAAGTAGCCGAATGGGCAGACGAACGCAGAGATCAACTTTGCTCGTTCAGTCATTCGCACCGCCCAGAATCCACTCCCCATGTCGAGACTCATAAACCCACATCGCAGATTTGAAGTCTACCAGTAAGTCATCGATCAGAGGTAGGGGATAACGGGATAGCTTAATGAGCAAATTCAGAAGCCGGTAGTCAATACACATCCGGATGTCTATGCCGTTTTTCTTCAGCACAATCACAATAGGTGATGACCCCTCGGACTCTGAATGGTCAATAAGCTCCGCCTCCAACAAGTTCTTCAAGAGTTCAAACACGTTCACCAAGAAAGGTGCGGCAATCTGTCTCGCAGTAAAGCGACTGGTTTTGCTTCACCAAGGTCGATGTCGCACACTACGCCCCTAGCCGGGGCCGGAGCTGCGTTTCCATGTCCCAGGAAGATGCTGCGATGACGTTTCAGGATCCATCTCATCTTGTCTTCCATCTCTGGAGTTGTGACCTCGGGAACCCTGACATTAGCTTCGTCGAGGTTACATTCTGGGGTCACTTCTTCGATTTCCGGGAGCATGATGAGATGGTCTTGCAGCTGTGCCATCAAATCATTTCCTTCTCTGAGATATACGGCAAGTTCCAGGCCCAGTTCTTCGGCAGAGACTCGCATCACCCAAACATATTCTGCTTTCCAGCCTTTGGACCGGTGTCGAACAGCTCGTCTGTGGCTGGACATCCACTGACTCTTCTTCGGCCGGAACACTATCTTCGGCGTCAGCGACATTCTCTGGATCCGAGTCCTTAACTTCTAGACTCAGGTGTGGGTGGGTCTCCTGTGCCGACTCCGGACGGTTCTCAGTTTCTTTGGAGTCTCTTGTGACCGTGTTCATGACGACCGCTGAGTTCCCAATGACCTTGAGTGTCATATCCAATGGTTTCGGCTTTTCCTGCAACTTCAACATCTTCACTTCAGCGGTTTGGGGCTGTGGACGCATTAAGAGATTATTTGGCCACTGATATCTCTGAGTCTGGGTGCACGGAGGCTTTCTTTCCCTGAGAATCTGTTCCAACCGTTCAGCACGCATCCTTGCTTGACGTGACACGGTACACTCATGGATCAATTGTTGCCATTCCTCATACCGCGCTTTGCCAGGACGAACGAATCCAGGCTGTCCTGGGAACTGTCCATACTCCACAATACGCGCAACCGCAGTCCTAGTATCTATCCACACATTCTGATCTGAAACATTAACAACCTTGACGGCAGTAGCCCAGGATTAGAGTACAGGACCTTGGTCACCCAGTTTTTTCCTCTCCCAGCCCACACTAACTCACGTTGAGGATTGGACTGGCCATACCGAATTCGTACAATAGCATCCTGACCAGGACGCAGGTGTATGCTTTCCTCTGGACACACGGGGAGATCCATACCACGGGACTTGGGATTAGCATCATACATAACCACAGTCTCTTCGTCTGGCAGCTTAACTAAGCCTTCTCGTATGCAGAGTCGGACACCTGCCGAATGCATAAAGTTCATGCCTAGTAGAACGTCAACGCCTTCTCCAATATTTCCAACCCAGATGTTCAGGAAGTACACCACACTCCATCCGA